TTTTTGATTTATTGTAGAGATGAGGTCTCGCCAAGTTGCCCGGGCGGGTCTCAAACCTGCGGACTCAGGCAATCCACTCACTTCGGCCTCCCAAAGCGCGGGATTACAGGCTGAGACACCGAGCCCGGCCTCCCTCTTGTTTTAACTGTATTTGTCCCACTGGTAAGCTTATGAGTGCCCTCCCCCCACTGCAAGCCCAACTTAGGTGTCTCCTCTAATATTCTAGAGTTTTCCAAAATCGTCTTCACTCAAAATGTAAATATAAACTTCCTTAAGAATCGATCTAATACTGAGAGTACCTCTTTAAAGCTTTCTGCATTCATCAGATATTACAAATGGAGAGCTTTGGGATGATGAAAGGCAGAGGGTAACTAACATTAATTGAAATCCCATTCCCATTCCCATCTCAATAAACAGAGGCATCCTCCATCCACCCACTCATTCAAGCCAAAACCTCGAAGTCAAAGTATGATATTTCAATTCCATTCCTCCAGTCTCTCACACACTTTAATCTATTGGCAAACCCTGTCATCCCTACTTCAATGTATCTCAACTTTGTCCTTTTATCTTCATCTCTACACACAGGCCTACTCCAAGGAGCCGGACTCTCCAAGCTTCCTCCTTTCAAGATTTGCCTAATGCCTTCTCCGCCTATAACCCAAGACATCTTCTACCAGGGATATCAGATCATTTCACCACCTTGCCTAATGGCTTCCTATTTATTGCCTTGGGGGGGGAGAAGAAACTCCAGATCCTGCCTCACCGGCTCTATGGATCCATCCCATGCTATCTCAGCAAGCCCTTCTTTTCACGTTCTAAACCTCAACCATCAAGCCCTCTCCAAAGCCTTCAGTTCTGAGGGTTCCTGTGCCTGACACTCCTTTCCCATTCTCTTCAGGATATCAGCTTCTGTTCCTTCTGAGAGTGGTTTAAAAATGCCCCTTGTTCTCAGGAGAATAAGGGAGGAAGGGGCTCTGACATGGTGTCCAGGCATGGTAGCTCACATCTGTAACGCCAGCACTTTGGGAAGACCAAGGTGGGAGAATTGCTTG